TGGCAAAGGAAAGTTTTAAAAAATTATATCAAAAATTGTTAAAAAGCGGAAATTAATTATTAAAACAGTAGTATTATGTCTAAAATAAAGTATTTACAATTACTACTAGGAACTTAATCCAAATTAATAGCAAATTAGGTAGCAATTGATTTAGGTAATTATTCTAATTTGTTATTTTCTCTCGTTTCCTCCATAGGCAATTTAATATTTTTTCTTTTTATTTCTTCTTACTATTATCAGCACTAAACCAACTAAAACTACTCCAATTACTCCACAACCAATATAAAGACTAGTTTTATCACTTGGTTTAGTAGTATTATTAGCATTAGAATTCTGTTTTTTTAATAATTCCTCTAACTCTTGTAATCTTTTTCTTTTGGCTGCTAATTCGGCTTGTTCAGCAGGGGTTTTATTAGGTTTTTGTTCTAATTGCATGATTTGGGAACGCAATTGGGATTGTTGAGTGAGATTGCTAGGGTTATCATTACCAGAATTATTCTTTTGGTTTTCTGCGTAATCATTGAGTCCTCTATTAAAATCATTACCCATTTTTTTTCGTTCCTGAGAACTTTTTTCTAATTCCCACAAAATCCTTTCTTGCTCTTGAATTTTTTTTTCTTTCTCTTCTTGAGACAATTGCTTTTCATAGTGAATAACAAAGCAGTTTTCGGAACAAAATTTCTTATTATCTTCCTTTACTTTGTTAAAATAATAATTTTCAGGACTAATTGGTTGACAACATTCACTACAAAATCCATGATGGCAAGCAACGCAAGTAATACCTTTTGTCCTTGGGTTTCATGAAAGAGGCTCACTCTTATAGTGTTCACCAGTAATCGTTTGTTTACACTTATCGCACACATAATATCCATCAAAACATTGCTGAGAACAAAATTTCTTTCCATCGTTTTGGGCTGTGCTATATAAGTATTGTCTAATTATTACTTTATCACATTTAGAGCAGTAGTCTTTATGATTAACATTATTAGAATTAATACTTTTAATGTTTTCTTCTTCGTATTTATCCTTTATCTTTTTTAATTCTTCAACTATTCCGCTATAATTTCAAAAGTCATTCATATTAACTTCTCCATTTATATTGTAAGAATTAAGAAGTCCTTGAGCGTTTAGAAAATTTCTAGAATGCTTTTCAAAGGCAGAATTAACTTTTTCTTGTTGCTTCTGAGAATTAGTAATTTGTTTTATATCTTCTAATTCCTCTTTTGCTGTAGTGCGAAAAGAAATATAATTAGCAAAAGACTGCTTGGCTTGATTTTTGTCCATGATTTATATATTAATAATTTTATAAAAACCAAGCTGTGCTACAGTCCTTTACTTCTCATTATCCTTAATAAAAGCAAAATAAATCACTAAAAAGATGATGGCTCCAATAATTAGTTTAGTGTTGTAATCAAGTTCAATATTAGCCAAGCCAGTTCCACCAGTTATTGTTTGCTTACCTTGTTTTATTAAACTTTCTATTTTTTCATCTAATCCTTTTATTCTTCCTTGAATGTCACTCCTTTGTGATACTAATGAGGCTAATTCACTTCTAATTTGTGCTTTTTCCTGCTCAGAAGTGCTAGGGTCATTAAGTTTATTCTGCTTTTGGGCTATTTGTTGGTCTAAATTATTTAATTGACTAGCTTCTTGACTTCTTTCATTTTGAAGGTTGTTTATTTCTTCTCTTATCTGCTTAGATATTTCACCCTTTAGGTTTAGTTGCTTATTTTCATTTTCTTTTTTTTGAATGTCAGCATCAAGAGCAGAACCAGCCAAAAAGCCAATCCCTCCACACACTAGCAGGCTAGTTCCTCCAGTAGCAGGAGCTAAGGCTACTCCAACGGCTGTTCCAATAGCTTTACCAGCATTTTCTTTGGTTCAGTTTCAAAGATTATTAAAGAATCCCATAGTTTTATTTGTTATTTAAGCCTTTTAGGCTGCTTTTATTTGTGAATTTCATATTACTTAATTTGCTTTTTGATTTGATTTAATTGTTTAGTTAATTCTTTTAATTGCTGGTGGTAGGTTTCAATATTTTTAGTTCAGAGGGTCAGGGTGGATTTGATTTCTTTTATTTTAGATTCTATTTGTTTGATTAGTTGTTGATTAGTCATATTTTTATCTTCTTTTGTATACTTCTTGGGCCAAGTCAGCTAACTGCTGACGTAATTGCATAATTTCAGTTTGAGCACCACTACTTTGGCTGGACATTGATATTTGGATTTGTTGCTTCAACCCTTGCACTTCTTGATTTAAATTTTCCAAAGAGGTAGTCAAGGCATTAGAGGATTTGGCTAGCACATTAGCCATTTCAGCTAAATTAGGTAAATTATCATTTAATACTTCAGCTTCTTTAGGTATACGAGGAGATTCAAACTCTCCATCATAAGAACTTAACTGCCCGCTTTCTTTTTTTTGCCAAAAGAATTGTAAGAATTCTCCAATTTCAATCTCAATTTCATCAGTTTCAGTTGTCGGGTTTCCGCTTTCATCCTTTACTTCAACTTCTTCTTCTAAGATAGCATCAGGGTTACTAGTAATAAACAATTCTCAAAACTTTGCCCGGTCAGGCTTTTCTGGATCATACCCTAGAAAGTCAGACACAAAAGAAAATTTGTTAAATTTATTTACTCATTTATTATCTTCTTCGTTTAGGCCAGCCGTGTCCTGCCAGCGATTAGGAAGTGGAGGAATATTAAATCCGCTTGGTAACTTATACTTAGTCGGATTTCTCTTAGCATCGTCAAAATATTTCTTAAATTCGTCCCAAGTTCAACTAAAATCTAAGGGATTGCTTAATCTGCCTTCTCGGTAAGTAGCATTCTCTACATCTTCCAAATGGTTAGTAGCAAATATTCAGAGGTTTTGGGTTTCCTCCTTTCGACTAGACTCGCTACCTTCCAAAAGTTCTTTTAGAAATCTTAGTTTATTTGGGTCGTGAATTAAAGAGTTATTGCTTATTTGGTCACATTCATCCACAAAAAGGATATACCGAACTTCACCATTAGCCTCTCTTTCCATTCCGTAGATTTTAATCAAGTTTCACTCTAATTCACTAATAGTATAAACAAATTTCTGCAAAGGAGCAATACCAGCATCATAATCTTGCTTAGTTGGAGTTAAGGAAGAACCTTTAACCATTATCAAAGGACATTCATTGGCCTCGATACAAATCTTTTTTACAGTAGCTGATTTACCCGTGCCTGGTGCTCCAAAGAAAATAGCATTGTTATCTTTTTTAGTAGTTGGATTAGGATGGCCTCTCCAAGGCGGACTTTCTCGCATTACTTGGTTGTATCAATTTTGAATTTCGCTAGATCAGATTAAATCCTCATTTTTATCTAGCAGATAACAATTCTTTTGATTTTTTTCTTTCCCTAACTTAAAGAACTCTTCCATAGAAGGCGGAAAATGAATATCATAGGTAGCGGCTCGGGAAAAGTGAAAATCTTCATTCTTGTCTCCATCAGGAAATAACTTAGCATCTTCATTATAGCGACCAACTAGAATGTTGGAAATCTTTCTGACTTCATTATCAGCCCAACTTTTCGCAGGTAGTTTTCAAATGGCTCCTTTTGAAAACATTTGGTCTTCTAGTTCTCTTTCTAGTTGTTCGGGAGTTTTTTGATGTTCTTGTAATCATTTCATAGCTTCGTTAAATTCGTTCTGCTTGTTGGCAAAAGCTCTTTTTTGAATTTCATTACCATTGGCTCATGGTTGATAAGATTGTAAGGTAGTTAACATTTCAGCAACATCATCTAGTTTAGCATTCTTTACTCGGTCAAGTTCTGCTTGTAATTTGGCTTCAAGTTTTTTCACTTCTTTCTCCGGTAAATAAATCATAAAGTAATAATAAGCTGCTCCTGCTAATAGCAAAAGCAGTAAAAGCATTTGTTGCCGTTGTTTTTTTCTTTTCTTGGACTTTACTTCTGACTTCTTTTCGTAGTCAAAGTCAAAATATTTATCTACGTTATACATGATTATTCTCTTAGTCTTTTAAAAAAGGCCATTTGCCTTAGTATTTTCTCTTCTAGTTGAGCTTCTTTTTTAGCAGATAGATTAGGTTCTGATTTAGTTAGTTGGTAAATAGTAAAAAGCAGTAAAAGAGCAAGAGCAATTAAAATTAGTCCTCTTTGTCAGGGTTCTAAGTTAGTGTAATAAGGAGTGATGGTTGCTTCTAACTGCTCCGTGGCTTCACTTAGAGTTTTTTTGATATCGTTAGTCATATTCAGAGTCTTTTTGTGAATAGAGATAAAAAAATACTAGCAGAGCAATGCCAGTAAAGATTATTAGTTGCTGTTGATTAGATTGTTGAGAGTTATCAGAATTTGAACTGCCTGCTCAGGGGTTTCAAGGAGAGTTAGTATTTTCTTCATCGTCACTTCCAGCATCACTTCTTGAGTTATTTGTTCTCGGATTACTCTTTGGATTTGGCTGAGTGGGTGGCACGGAGGAAAGATTACCGCCAAAAAGCCTTCCCATGTCACTTATATAACTATATTGAGTCAATTTAGATAGAGGGTTTTTGGCAAGTCTAGTTTTGGCTTGTTTAATTTTTCGTTCTGCCGCTTGAGCAACAGCAATAAGTTGGGCTTTCTTAGTCGGGTCTTTTTCCTGGGCAGCTTTAGTCATAGCATCATTGCGTTCAGCCTCTGCCTTTCTAATTTCTGCTTCTATTTCGACAATGTCTCTTTGATGAATAGGATCAATTGCTTGTAATTTATCAAGTTCATCTTGTAGTTTTTGCTTTAACTGGTTAGTAAACGGACCTACAAAACTGCCAAAATAATCATTTCAGATACAACAAACATTCCCTATTGACCAAGCATCTGATACTTGGCATTTGTTAATACAGTCTTGAAGTTTATTAACTAGACTTTGCTTTTTTTGATTAAATTCTTGTTCATTAATTGCTAAAGTTAACTCTTGGGCATCACTTTCAGTGCTAACTATATTATTGGCTCATTGAGCTAAAGTTTGGCAGTCTTTCATTAAATAATGTTCTCCTCCTCAATTACATTTTCCTTCAGTTCAATAAGCAGCATCACCATGAGCCTTATCGCCAGCTTGTCGACGAGCCGCGGCATTAACTCAAAACCTGCTTTTGATGTCTTGAGCATTAGTGAAGTTTTTTAATGAACCTAATCCACTGGCTCCACTGTTGCCAGCTGTTCTTTTTGGCTGGGCAATATTATGTCTATTTGGTCTTTTCTTTCCCATAATTTTCTATAAAATTCTTAAGTTTCTATTTCTTTAACACTAATTTATTCATTTGCTTTGGCTTTATCAATATTCCAATGCTACCGAGGATTAATAGTATTCAATTCAGTAAAGATAAAGATTCTGGTCAAAAAACACTACTAATCACATAATAGTTCAAGTAGTAAGTAATGATAGTCAGCACTATTAAAAGACTAATCATAAATAGCCTTTCTTTGGGCTGGTCATTAGTTCAGGGTAATTCTGGTTCCTTTAATCATCTAATTCCGAGGGGTAAAAGAGTCAGAGTTAAAGCACTGATTTTACTCCAATATTTAACTGATTCTTTTGGGGTGGTTAAGTAATTTTGCATGAGGGTTGATTTTAGGTTAAAGAGTAATTAATTGTTGGTTGGTCATAATATTAAATCTCCCCCCTCCTTACCATCCTTTTCAACTTCTCTATCTCACCATTAGCAATTAAATTCTTTACTTGTTCTAATTTCTTTGCTAGAGAGGAGA